AATCATTAAACTAATTCGCACTAGAAATGGAGTTTTCATTTGAAAAAGCAAATCATGAAAAAATTTGTGTAGCTCAAAATTGACATTGACAATAATAAAAAAAAAAAAGTTAAACTATTGCATAAACAACATTTTTCATGTAATGAAGTAGTAGTGAATTAGTTTTTCGTGCAATATTTCACGAAATTTAACAAAATTTAAATTCTTTGAAATTCTTCAAATTTTATATTCCGAAAAATAATGCGAAAAGTGTAAGCAATTAATTTTTCATTTAAAAGAATTCAAAAAAAGCGTAAATTAAACTATAAATATAACGAAAAATCTTTAAAATACTTAACAAACAAATAAATCTGTTTAGAAATGTTAAAATATTTAGTAATTTTCTATGAAAATTTGCATACAAATTTAACAGACAGTTTTGAAAATACTGTACTTTAAACTCAAATATTTGCATTCCCCAAAAAAATATTTGGCAAAATTTTAAATGTAAATTTTTTTATTAACCAATCACTTCCTAAGCAAATTCCGCCTCTCACTGCCTCACATCTGTGTATAAGTTCAAATATAATATTTTTCTCACATCTGGCGCACAGTTTGCTACCATATCGTACAGCAATTCCGAAAATTTTATTTTATTCATGACTTCATACATAACTGCATTCATACATTGCTACATAGATAGATATATGTTGCAATAAAAACCCATAAGAACAATTTTTCAGTCTCGAAACCACTGAAAATTTTTACAAAAAGTTCAAAAAACCAACAAAATAAAAATACTGAAAAAAATATTCAAATTCAGTTAAATATTTTTTTCTCAAAGAATGCATTAATTTTTAAATAAGTTTTGTTAAACCCACCATTTCTTATGCAAAAATTTTTCTTTGTTACTTTTTTATCTTCAAATTTTTGCTTACTCTGCAATTCGCAAATAAAAAAAANGGCATGCTAGAGGTGCGGTAAGAAAAAAGATGAAATATATAAATGTTACGTAATATTTTTTAAGTTTAGCTTTAAGCAGTTAAGAAAGTAATCGCAGGCTTTTTGCGCCAAAGGCAAAAAAGATAACAAGAATTTGTGCGTTTAAAAATTAACAAAGCCTTGGTTCCTTTAAAACGGCAATATCTATAAGAAAATTTAATTTTCACCACTGAATTTCACTCATACGGCGCTCAACTAAAGCAACACTTCTTGAATACACAACAAAGAACACATTCGAAATGGTTCATACAACTCTCAACTCGTTTTTACTCAGCCAGTCATCGCGACTCATTCCCAATCGACTCCCATTTGAAAACTTCATTCCACGCGCTCTCACGCTCACTTTCGCTCTTTCTCTCATCCTTCTTTATCTTTTCTCAACAACTTTACGCTATCTTCAACACAATTCACGAATTTTGCATCGATATATATTTAAAATAGTTTCTACAGGAATTTATTTCAATGCATTCTTCAATTTGGTTTTTGTTTTACTTTTGTTTTTTTTTTTTTTGGCATTGAAATCGGCTACGCTTGCCTAAATATTTATGAATTTTTGTTGATGCTCAAAATGAATTCCTTGTTATTATGAATTATGCTATAAATATGCTCCTTAGTTACCGATTTTGCTGCCTGTTAATTAACTAAGTAGCGAACTCTCACCTTACTATATTAGTTACTAATAAACTGAACCTCACTAACTAGTTCTATTAGTTTTTCTAACTATTAATTATACTTGTTTGAATTATTTTTTACACCTGAATAAATACTTACATACACCCAAACACATACAAATAAAAAAAAAAATCTAGAATTTGAATAAAGCTAAAATAGTATTAAATTTTTTGAACTATTATATTACATATCGACGACTGAGTTGAAGACCGATATACCACGGGTGTCGGTTGGAAAATGCCCTATCTCAGAAAACTTTACAAGAACGCCCTTCTTTAGAATTTGGTTGAAAAATGCCCCACCTCAACTGAAAATACATTGAAAATATATTGAGTTGGGGCGTTTTTGAATCGGCAGCTGTAGTAGGGCGTTTTTGAACGGAATTGTGAGATTGAACGTTCTTGAAAAGTTTTCTGAAATATGGCGTTTTTCAACTAGCTGCTGAGATAGGTCGATCTTCCACTCGACGGTCGATATACTTATTTATAAGTACCATTATATTTCATTATCATTATCGTACCCCCAAAAAGAGGCTCACAAATGAGTTGAAACTGAATATCAATGAACCCTCTGAGCTTTAAAATTTGCCATAAGCATAGCTTTTCCTTTTCTAGCGCGAGCCTATGCCCTATTCTTAACAATACAATTGCAGGCTACATCAACACCATTAGCACAGCTTGTGTTGCCCATACTATTAATATTAATATGAGCTTATGAAATTAGTATATGCACATGCCATTTGAGAAGTGTACCTATGCCTTTAAGTGTTAAATAGACCAATGAAGTAAAGCACAAATTGCTCAAGCTTTCGCTGGATACTTCTGCGCTCAAAACACATTCGTCTGGCAAATATAGAATACATGAACAAATCGTATTAAACAAAAACTATTATTTGAGCTCAATTGGTCATTTTCTTGAAACTAGACTTGACTGGATAAACTCAGACCGCATGAGGTATTAGTGCCGAGGTTGCCAAACTTTTTTTTTATCGTAGACCACTTTTAAAATTTTTCTGGTTTCGATGGACCCCCTGCTGCCACACTTCTACCATACTCCCAAAACTCGCAAAAAAAAAAATTGAAGTTTAGATTTAAAGATGGAAATTTGAGTCGCGGTCTGTTTCACATGCACTGCTTGTCTATGCCCTGCGCTTGAAAATTTTATTTCTGGCAAATGAAAAAAAAACAACTTCACTCAGAAACTTGGGGAACTATAGATTTTCGATTTCTAAGTTATGTTTCAAAGTGCGAACAGAGCCGTGAGAGAATCATGCTGCCATATAATTTTTTTGTCACCTTTTTATAAAAAAAAGTCTTCCAAATATGCCATACAAAAATGATTTTATTGTTTAAATGCAATTCATAGAGCAATACAAAACAAACTTTCAAACAAAGACAGAAAATAAAAGAAGTAGTTTTTAAGCAAAATACACAACCGACTTCGATTCTCATATAAAAATTTAGGAGTACCGTTAATTTCTTCATGACGTAATGATCGGATCTAAACCAAATTAGTATGGGATCACCTCGAAGACTTCAAAACCGGTTGACGTGATCCAAAGTTATGCGCTAACATACATAAAACAAATATTTCGACGAATTGATAACCTTCTCCTTTCTTGGAAGTCGGTTAATAACAAGTTATTTTTAAGCAAAAAACAAAACCGACATCAATTCTCATATAAAAATTTAAGATTATCGTTAATCTCGGATTTAAACCAAATAAGTATGGGACCATTTGTGAGGTAACACCTTTCCTTTAAAAAAGTCGCGGAAACAGGAGTTTGTTAAGTGTCGGGATCTAAAACTATTCAGCTACAGAATCAAATTCAACTTTTGGCTTAGGCTAGCCTAGATGATGGAAACGAACTTGGACTTATTCATTTTCACCATCTAGGCCAACCTAAGCCAAAAGTTAACCTACTTTTTAATCAGTTTATTCTTGACTAAGTCCAAAAAATGGCTAAACTAAGTTAAGTTGAGTTGGAAAAACCAGCCCTAAGTCGTACATAACCGGTCTTTAAAGTGAGACAAAAAATATTTATACTCCCATTTTTAAGATAAAAAATCTTATTGATTGATTGATTACCCTTGAACTGAGTTGAGTGAGGAGGAGGTTGAAGTTGTGTTCCTCAGCGAGGATTTTTCGCGAACTCGTGTCCTAAAATATACTACTCAAAGGGATGTTAAGGGATGTTTTAATTAAACGAAATTAAAGCTAAATAAACAGGCTATCTGATCTTTGGGCCGGCCTTACTGAAAACAATTTTTTCAAACCCCTTCGACCAAAAAAAAACAAAAAAGTTGCCAAAATTTTATTTGGCGCTATCTATTGGGATATTCACTTGAGAACTGTAGCAGAGAAGTCTCAATATTTGAGTCTTAAAGCATCAAATTTTCAATGTCCCAATACTACAATTTTTCATCGGAATTCAGCCTGTCAAAAATCATCGATCGCTGCTGACTACATTGATAGGAAAGCTAAGCCAACATTTTTGTTTTTTACTATCGAAACCAGAAAAATTTTCATGGACCTCCACTTAAAACATGTGAACCCACATTTCTTTTCACGCCAACGTAGAACCCCATCGAGTCTCTCGCGGACCCCTGGGTGCCCACCTGAATCACTTTGGGAATCACTGTACTAATGCAATGAAATCAGCTGAGTTGACATCCGCTCTGACTCATCAAAACCCACATGTATGTATGTAAATACATATTTTCATCGATTGCGAGGCATCTATTATGGCAATAACGGCTAAGTATAATGGCACCTACACCTAGCACCTAAATGCATACCACGTCACCGATAATTCGGAATAAAAAAAGCGAGCACAAAATGTGCACAGCAAAAAATTCCTTTATGAAATTCTTGCATATACACTTCTCAATTGTCATATACATAGCTGGACTTATTATCTAAGGTAATAAGCTGACGGCACTTCTAATCATGCTCAGCCTAGCTTCACTCCTGATCCGGACAACTCATCCGGAATAAATCAAGGATGCATTGTAACGTAAATTTTAGCGTTTACCAAAAAAAGCAATCGTTCCTCTTGAAACAATTCAGTTTTTTATCGTTTAGGTAATTATCAAAATAATTCTATTTTGGTTTTTAACGTAAAGAAATTCAATCCTTAATGCTGAAGCTGTAGCTGCCAATGGCATACAACAACAACTTTTCGTTGATTTATTTTGTTTCGATGTTAACGATTGAGTTTTGTTTCGTTAATTCAGCTCTGAAACGAAACGAAAAATTATTTTGATAAGTTATTTTTGCGCATCAACAAAACGAAATCGATTCATATAGTTTGTTGAGCATCTCAGCTTTAAATTATTAACTTTTTACCCTATTGATACTTGTAAATAAATGTGTATGTTTTAAAAATATGAATGAAATCCCACCGTCTTGATCGATGTGTAGCACAAAATATGTCAATAGCTCTTATCGAAAAACGCCTGATTGGATGGAATCCAATCCCTAATTTTAGAGAGCCCACTTTACATACATCGCCTCTCGCTTAAGCCACAGAAAAATCATCCTAAATACATATATTCACGCAGCATACACAAGCCCACCACTAACCCATATTTTTTGTTGGTTTTCTTGCGACATTCCAGTCCATGCAACGCCTTTCCGCCGAGCAAAATGGTTCAACGACTGAACAAACACATGAACACAATCCAAACGTCGTACCTGATCATAGAGGCAACTTACACGTTACTGTTAAGAAAACTAAACCAATTTTAGGTATTGCTATCGAAGGTGGTGCTAACACAAAACACCCGCTTCCTAGGATAATCAATATCCATGTGAGTACCACATAAATGCACCTCAAAAACATATATTTGTGCTCAAGTGTAGTTACATAACTTTGGCCGCACATCTCCTTTCCGCAGGAAAATGGTGCCGCTTATGAAGCGGGCGGACTAGAAGTCGGGCAACTGATACTGGAAGTGGACGGCAATAAGGTTGAAGGTCTACAACATCAGGTATGTTTAGCCATTTTTAGATGCGTTTTCAATATTTATGTAATGCGCTTTCTTGTCTCTTGTTTCACAGGAGGTTGCCCGCCTGATAGCCGAATGCTTTTCCAATCGTGAAAAGGCAGACATAACCTTCTTAGTTGTCGAAGCGAAGAAGTCAAATCTTGAACCAAAACCAACAGCGCTTATCTTTTTAGAAGCCTAACATTTGCTTGCCCTGCCGGCTAATGAGGATCCCTTGGAACGACAAAAGATCGAGTTCCTCTACGAATGGGGGATCGATTTAACGACAACGCCAAAACCAATGCCAACACCAATACCATTAACAAAAGCTAAAAATCCACCGCCACTGCCACTCAACATTAAATCCATCAACCATACATCGCAACACCATCAACATCAGCATCATCAGCAGCATCAGTCACCAGCGTCGGCGATGACGGCGCCGACACAACGCACATCGGTGACAGCCCATCAGCAACACGTTGACGCGACAACAACACCAACAGCAACAGCAACAAGAACACACACACATGTGCCACAAATCACACAACAAGCGTCAATGGGAGCGACGACACAGGCGACGAGCGCCAAGCACACAAGGAGCCCAACACAACAACAACAACAACAACAACACCAACCGCACCAATTACACCACCAACGTACAACGCCAACATCAGCCACAACAACACCAACAAAAAGCAGCACACAACACCAGCAACCGCAACCACAACATAAAAGACTGACACCAGCTGAATATGCGCGAGCGGGCGGCGCCATAACAACAACAACAACAACGCCAACAACATCAGCGCCGACGTCGCGGGAACACACACCAACACGCAGCTCACAATCACATCATCAACTACAGCGACAAGCATCAACCACACAACGCCATCAGCAACAGCAACAACAACAACAACAAAAATCACAACATTCACAACACGAACAGAGGCGCGAACTCGATCGCAAGGGCTCGCAACGTGAACGTGATCGCACGAAAGAGCGCGAACACGAACGTCAGCGGGGCGCTGTGCGCGAAGATGAACGCGAGCGTGAACGTGAGCGAGCACGCGCATTGGAACATGAACGCGAGCGTGACTATGCTTATGAGCGTTCGCGAGATTATCAGCGCGAGCGCGAACTAGAGTATGCACGTGAGCGAGAGTATGCAGCACGCGAACGCGAATATGAGCGTGAGCACTCACATGGCGCACGCCACAGCGATTATGCACGCGAGCGAGAGCGCGACTCCGAACTTTGTGAACACCCACCGCCGCCGCTGCCATCGGCATCCGCATCATCAGCGCACTCACATCTAATACAACACCCACACCACCGCCAACAACACGAACACCACGAACAACCACATTACAATAAAACAAATTATANGAGCACTCACATGGCGCACGCCACAGCGATTATGCACGCGAGCGAGAGCGCGACTCCGAACTTCGTGAACACCCACCGCCGCCGCTGCCATCAGCATCCGCATCATCAGCGCACTCACATCTAATACAACACCCACACCACCGCCAACAACACGAACACCACGAACAACCACATTACAATAAAACAAATTATAATTCCGTTTACCAGTAAAAAAATTTTACGAAATACGAATTTGAGAAATTTTTGCTAACGAAATTTACCACCAACTACATACAATGAAAACAACAACAAATGCTTGAAATATTAAATATCTGACGCTCAATAGCAACAACAACAATAGCAACATGGTACAAAACACACTCAGCATGAATAGAATTTTGCTCACATTTTGATAACGTGAAAACATAAGCAAAACAGATGGATATAGAAAATGCATGAAATTCGAAGAAAAGAGCAAATTATATTTGAATTGTGCAATTGTGTAACTATCCCGCGCAAATAATAGAAAACACTTAGCAAACGCCCGAAAGCAATAGCCCAAATAAGTACTCCCACTCTAGCAAGAACAACAATTCCCTGCATAGCGCCGCCGTTCGTTTCACTTCAATGCTCCTCACATTCTATTGCCGCCGCTTTAAAGTTTTATGCCTTACGCTCTCATAGAATCGCTTAAAATTTCAATCCCTCATAGAAAAAAAAGAATAAANTGCGTAAATAATAGAAAACACTTAGCAAACGCCCGACAGCAATAGCCCAAATAAGTAATCCCACTCTAGCAAGAACAACAATTCCCTGCATAGCGCCGCCGTTCGTTTCACTTCAATGCTCCTCACATTCTATTGCCGCCGCTTTAAAGTTTTATGCCTTACGCTCTCATAGAATCGCTTAAAATTTCAATCCCTCATAGAAAAAAAAGAATAAAAAGCTAAAAAAAAATATGTTTTGTGTGCTAAAACGGTTATAATTTTTAGCTTTTGTACACTGACACGCAAAATTGTATTGTTTTGCAATTTACACCTCATTCACTCATACAAGCCACACACACACACACAGAGGCACTCAAAATACTTGAAAAATACATTGTAAGGCTCTTTCTGCTTCAGGCCTTAAGCTACATACATAGATGTTTGTTGTAGTGTTTTATTTCGTACTTTTGCTAAAACTGCTTCAAATGTTTCATAAATGCACACAGTCGCTGGGTATNCAGAGGTACTCAAAATACTTGAAAAATACATTGTAAGGCTCTTTCTGCTTCAGGCCTTGAGCTACATACATAGATGTTTGCTGTAGTGTTTTATTTCGTACTTTTGCTAAAACTGCTTCAAATGTTTCATAAATGCACACAGTCGCTGGGTATATTAAAAAAAAAAATATATATATATATATATTTTTTAGTTTTACCCCTTCTTAACCTCAAAGTATATTAAATGTCCCAACTGGATTGTAAACTCCAAAAAACTAAGGGTTTGTATTCTAGTTTAAATTTTGGATTTTTAGTCAAATTATTATTTTTTCTATCCTTTTTTATATATTCACGAATAAAATCTGTAAGTGAAGAAGAACAGCCAAGCGAAAACGAGCTTGCAATTGCCACTGCTTCGCAAAAGATTAAAATAGTGAATTGTTTATGGTGATTAATATATGTAATTTGCTAGAAAAATAAGGATTTTATTATCATTTAGCGGTATTTGCATTGCTTGGTCATCCAAGGCATATTTTCTAATGTATCATTCGGACCTCCAGTGTTCTTTGGTCGTAAAGGGTTAATGCATTTTTAGTTTTCCTGTCGTGTAAACAAATACATATTTAAAAAATGTTTGCTGCTTGAAGGCATTGGCATTCGTCGCCGAAGTGTTAAATATTTTGTTACTTTTCACTACATTTTTCTTTCGGCTATAAAATTCGAAAGGCATTGCTTTTTGCTGCTTGATATTTCTGGATTTTTATTTTTTATGAATTTATTTTTCCTAATTCATCAAGAGAAAAAGATCAACCCTTTGAGGCATCGCCATAAAGCCAATTCGTTGTTTTACTTTTCTGTGAAATTTGAGAAAACTTGCAAGAAAAACAGGTAAACTAACCCTTTAACGCTCTTGTTAATTTCGTCCATCAAATGGTTAACTACTTTTAAGCGCTTTCTTAATTTTTTACCGAGTGAGAAAATATAAGAAATAGAAATTTAAAAAAATAGTTAATTACTTTCTATAGAATCTTGAAATGGCACTTGGTCATTAAAGTGTTAATTTGTTTTAGGTTCTTTATTGTTGTTTTTATTGTTACATATTATATTTTTAATTTTTACTTCTTTCCTTCATTTTTTTCTAGAACGAAAGAAACCTAAATATTTAAACTTTTGAATCAATAGTTTNCAATTGAATTGTAAACTCTAAAAAACTAAGGTTTGTATTCTAGTTTATCGCAATTTTGGATTTTTAGTCAGATCATTATTTTTTCTATCCTTTTTTATATTTTTTACGAATAAAACCTATAAGTGAAGAAGAAAAGGCAAGCGAAAACGAGGAGGATTTGAAAAATGTATGAAGGACAATTCAAAACATCTTCCGATTCCCTGGCTTGCAATTGACACTGCTTCGCAAAAGATTAAAATAGTGAATTGTTTATGGTGATTAATATATGTAATTTGCTAGAAAAATAAGTATTTTATTATCATTTCCTTTTTTAATTTATTCTTATTTTTTCTCTCGAGTGTGAAAATGTTTAAAAGTTTTTCTGGCTCGTTATTTTCTGATGTATCATTAGGACCTGCAGTGTTCTTTGGTCGTATTTTCCTGTCGTGTAAGCAAATAGTATATAAAAAATGTTGCTTGCTGCTGGAAGGCGAAAAGATAAATTTTGCTTTTGCAGTGTCAGTGGGCATTGGTCGTCGAAGTGTTAAATATTTTGTTACTTTTCTCTACATTTTTCTTTTGGCTATAAAATTCGAAAGGAATTGCTTTTAGCTGCTTGATATTTACTGATAATAAAAAAGTAGTTTAACCCTTTCGAAAATCCCTGGTCATTTGTCAATTATACATATATTTAAAAAAATTTTAAACTTTTTCTTTAGAACATTTCCAGTCGTTGGTTGTTGGGGGGTTCGAGAATTTCTAAATTTTTCTGGATTTTTATTTTTTATGAATTTATTTTTCCTAATTCATTAAGAGAAAAAGATCAACACTTGATGACACTTGGTCATTAAAGTGTTAATTTGTTTTAACTTCCATATTGTTGTTTTTATTGTTACATATTATATTTTTAATTTTTACTTCTTTCCTTCATTTCTTTCTAGAACGAAAGAAACCTAAATATTTAAACTTTTGAATCAATAGTTTAGTTTGGCTTACCCCTGCACTGTGTACCGCTTTGCTTTATTAAATGCAAACATTTTTGGAAAGTATTCGTATCAATAAAACACTGCCACAAAATAAACAAGAAGCAAACAATTTACACTTTTGGACGTATGAGTATCTCAAATAAACTAAAAACTGATAAAAACCAAACCAAACAAGACACAGTAGCATGAAATTAAAAAAAAAACAACAGCAATGCTATACGAAAAAATTAAAAAAAAAAGATTAAAATATTAAAAATATTAAAAAAAAAAACTCTCTCCCCAAAGCAACAACACAGATGGAGCCGCGCAACCCCACAAAACTTCTATACTTAGCCCCTATCCAAATCCACACGCTCTTCTATTTAGNTACTAAAAACTGATAAAAACCAAACCAAACAAGACACAGAAGCATGAAATTAAAAAAAAACCACAGCAATGCTATACGAAAAAATTAAAAAAAAAGATTAAAATATTAAAAATATTAAAAAAAACTCTCTCCCCAAAGCAACAACACAGATGGAGCCGCGCAACCCCAAAAAACTTCTATACTTAGCCCCTATCCAAATCCACACGCTCTTCTATTTAGCTTCCCAAAATCTTATCTCAAGCGAAAATTAAATTTATTTACGATAGCCTAGGTGCTCCGAGTCACACATACACACCTGTATCTTTGTATATGCTAGTCTCGATTACCTATCGAACTCTGAAGGACGTCTTAATCTTAACAACGATATGTATTATCGTCGTTTAAAGTACAAAACCGCGTATCAAGGTAATGCAAAACCGCGTATGCGATGTTGCATTCATTATTTTCTAGAGAGTAAAAGCAATCGCATTTCTGCCTAGTATATTTCTGGACGAATGTATAAGAATTGAGCCAAGAGCTTGTGTGAGCAAATCCAATTTTTGGCAGCAAATGCCAGTTACGCGGTTTTGTACTTTAAACGACGATATGTATCTATTAATTATGTACGTATGTATTCGTAATTATGTAAACTTAAGTTGTATTATTATTATTAATTATATTTATATACATACATATGTATGTATGTATGCCATTTAACTGTAGTTTGTATTTTAAATTGTGAATTTATGTGGCATACACTTTACACCCGAAATCCGCATACACTGCGCTTCGTATTCAATGTACGAGTATGTACGTGTGTATGTAATTCACAGTGCGGGAAAACAAAAGCAACAGGGTTGCTGCATAGTAATTGCCTTGCGCCAGCGTTGAAAGAGATTTTCCAGCGGACGTGAAATTCGTATTAGTCCATAAACGGCTGAGCGCTCAAAATTTTTTGTTTTCTGTACTTACCTTGCAATATTGGAATTATTTTCCCATAAGTAAAAAACTTATCTTGACATATGTATGTATTCTATATACGTCACGCGGACCTTGAATATGTTAATGTATGTTCTATACCAGTGGTTCCCAACCTTTCCCAGCTGGTGACCCATCTTTCCTTATCGCAATACCTCCACGATCCATCGGTTCATGGTGGAGTAAAAAAACAAAATTTGTATCGCATCCCTTCCTTATGTATATATAATTTACAAGAAAATATTAAATATATATAAATTAGGTGGCGATCAGATAAGATTTAATGGCCCCTGATGAAAGTATGTGAAATATAGGGGGAACTAGGTTGTCTGATTCCCATTAAAATTTCCTATATAGAAAGCTATCAACGTCCATTATCAGTTAAAAATTAACAAATTCATATAGTTTGCCATGTTTACAGTTGAAAAAATTTGTACCACAATAGGGGTATTCTCGAAGATTTGCACAATCCACGGATCGTACGAAATGCAAAAATACTATTCCAAATTTCGAAGAGTACGAGAGCACCCCATTGCAAAAAGGTAACAAGCAGCGAAATTATGTATCAAATACAATAACAAGAGACATCAAAAAAATGAGACAAAAAATGAACTGAGCTTGATGAGAGGAATAAGAGAAATATGTAGCAATTCCAACAACAAAACAACTAGCACAGGGTCGCATTTATCTTGCTATGCATTTTGCAAAATATATACATGGATTTCGACGTTGCATATTTTGCAGCGATAGGAAACGTTGTTTCCCATGTATTTTGTTGTTGTGTGTTTGCAAGTTATGCAATCCATGTAATCCATGCTACGTGCAATGGCTTTACAAGATTTGGAGAATACCCCTAATGTATCAATGTATAAAATTGTTGTTTTTAACTAAAGCAAATTGCATTTAAAATTTTTTTCTGTGAAATAAGTGTGAAATTCCACACGCTGTTTCACGCTGTTGTCAATATGAACGTAGCAAAAAAAATTTTCATGACAATTTAAAATATACACGTACACTTTAAATTGCGTAAAAACTG